CTTTAAGGCATAAATGGAGTTGATCGCCGCCTGACACAGGGGGTCTTGAAACGAATAATCCCAGCTGTTGCATCCACAAATGCTGTGATTGCCGCTTCCTGTGCGCTAGAAGCCATAAAATTGACGACGAAGTAATTTATTTTGTTTTGAACTTTGCGAGAGGATTTACTTGATGAACTTCAGTACTGCCAAACCTATTGACAACTACTTGAACTTTACGGATATCGAAGGAGTATATTGTGGAGTAGTACAAATGGAACGTGATGTGAGGGAACTGCTTTTCTTTAGCATTGAAACAGCGATACTCATTCTTCTCATTCAGCCAGAGTGCGCGACATGTAGTGGTGGTTATGTGCAGATACAGTGCCAGAATGATGACACTCTACAAGATCTCATAGATAAGCTGGTTGATAAGTTGTGAGTTCATGTTTTTGGGATTATCTGTGATAGAGACATTTCTGCAACTTAAAAGAATGATTACTTTGAGTTTATATTCAATTTCTTGCAATATTTTCCCATCTTACACAGCGGGGAGAGCTTGCTGCTATAACAGCAACTTACTAGTTAGTATTATGAATATCTTCTTAAAAGATCTTGTGGGACTTCTGGTAGGATTATACTATTAATGGAACATTGCCTCCATTTTGTTTTGTACCGCTCTTTTTTTGCTGAAGAAGTCTTCTTCTTATTTATTACCAAAATGACCGCCTTTTAGTTTTTCCATAATGTCATTGATTTACTGGCCTGATCTAGTCTGCTATGTTTGAAAACTAGATGAATGGAACTTAGAAATTACATTGTGCAAAGTGGCGCACAAATTTATGTATTTGATTACTGATTTTTCATAATTAATATTGTACCTTCTTTAGCCAGTTGAAAAACCCTTCGTTGGAGACAGCTACGGACAAGATTTACTTGATCAGTGAGCTCATACCTGAACTCCGTGAAAAAAGTTTACTCAACTTGGTACGACCACTTCGAGGTATATTGTTATTTTATTAGTTTTTTTT